AATAATCCGATGAGAGTCGTTTCCATAGAAAAATGCAAACATATGAAGGTCAATAAGAACTCGGTAAACCTTAGAGGTCAAATGAGTACGTTTTTTTGGTACAGTTTTTTTTTAAAAAGTCCAACATACGTGTCTATCTATTAAATATCAATTTATGTGTAGATCGATATCGAAAATATTGTCCCTCAATCAAACTAAATATTTACTATACTAATTGCCCTCTGTCTCGTTAAAATTTCACGATAGTTAGCTAAGTTTTCGTTATAAACTTTGACACAAAAATTAATTAAGCATTGTTTCTATAGTAGCAAGAATTCTCTACTACTACTTTTCAAACTTTAAAATTGATTGACAGCACACAAATGTCGGACAAGGTCAATTGATAACATTTCTACGCTATGTTAATAAAAATCTTAAAATAAATTCAAACGACACTTCTTCGTTAGAGAATATTCCTCATTTTAAATTGACTTATGTATATCAGTAATACAAATATTCTATATTATATTAAACTAGTTCTACATATTTTAATCATTTCTACTACCGAGACTATTTCAAAAGATAAGATTTCTATCTAAATAAAAAATCTTACTTGATCTTTATCTGAATCGATTCCAATAACTCGCCCGTGTTCTCCAACAAGTTTTGATAAAATAAAAACATCTCGGCCAACACCACAACCAAGATCAACAACCGTACAACCTTCTAATTTTGGTGGAAATAAAACAAAATTAGATTGATGCGATCTAAATAAAATAAATAAATAGAAAAAAGAAAACAATATATCATAGTTTGATTTGATTTTTTTTCTAATTATAAAATTTTTATAGAAACAAACTTTGCTATTATATCCGGATGTATTTGATCAACAATAGCATTTAAAATACTTGGTGTTTTTAAAAGATGTGGTTTAACACGTGAAAAATGATCCGTTTCGGATACATCATCTTCTTCAACATTATACGCTTTTTCCGTTCCATCCTCTTCATTCATAGGTGGTTTCGGTTCAGTCGATGACGACATAGTTTTTTTTTGCGCAATTGATCTATATATTAAAATATAATTAATAGATATACATCTGTTTGTATTTTCTATATAATATGATAAGTAGACTTTATTATCATTCAACAAAAGAAAGCTTTATAATAATGATAGAAAAAAAAAATCTGGTATTTTCTACAAAAAATATATATTAAGAACAATTCTACCTCGTCTGATGTTATTTATTAACCAATCTCGAATGTTTCAGTGACATCTATAAATATCAATAAATTATTTGAGTTTGAATTTAAAAATGAATAATTTAATAAAAATAAATAAGTTTAAAAAACGAATTTTTAATTTTAAAGAAAAGCATTTATTCAATAACAAGTTTTTTTATTGGTGGAATTTTATCAATTGTTTATTATTATTTTTTTTTCTCTATTCATCTTTTGTCAGCTCTATCAAACATTTTAGATCAATTAGAATCAACAAAACTCAATTATTATTGATACAAAAAAAGTCAAATCAATAGATTTTTCATTTTTTTATATTTAAAATCATAAATAAGAATTTTATTTATTCAACATATTAAGGTAAGAATCAAAATAATATTAATCTTTTCTCATAAGAACATTAATATCGAATAATTTTCATTCTTTCGATATGAACTATAAATATAATAGAAATTTATTTATATTCTATCTTTTATAAGTATTCTTCATAACTTTTACAGAAATATTCGATTATCATAAGTTATTACATGTATAAATATTCTATAGAACGAGAATACTTCATAGATATAGAATAATATCAATAGAAAATTTTATATTTTTTTTTAATTTTAATAATCCTAGTGAACATGAAAACAAAATTGATTTTTTTTATTTGATTAAATTTATTTATTTATGATATTCATATTAATTTATTAGAAACATACAAAATAATTTATTTTTAATTGAATATATCAGCTTATTATATATATATGTTAGTAACAGTTGGACAGCGAGACAAAATAAATACTTATTGAAATGAAATAGATTTTTTTTCTTCGTCTTCTCTCCTTCTTCTTCTTCTCTCTCATTTACTTTCACGGAAATGAATGAAAAGGAAAGAAAAATAAGACATGTTAACTATTGGTCATTTCATTATGTTCTATTCAAACAATAATGAACCTCATAAAAGTATAGGTCATACTTCATTCAAACAATAAATGTTTCTCATTCTTATAAAAAAAAAAACATACAGACGTTAGAGTGACGGAAATAAGTATTCATAAAAATTCCTATGATGTAAGAATTTTTTTTTCAAATGAGAATATAAACAAAATATTCTATGACTAATAATACTAACAAAAAAAGTATTATAATATTTTTATTTATTTATAATTCTAGATTGTAACTACTTCATTTATCATTATATCTACAAATTTATATTGAACATTCAGTATTTTTTTAACTAACCTGTATCCAATAATTATCAGATATCGTTTAGTTTAAGAGAGACAACATAGTTTATCATCTGTACTGGTAAACAAGAAGAGATCCTCTAAATATACGATTTTCCGTTATCTAATCGGATTAGAGTACAGAATCTAATTGATGGATCTGCATGTTGAATTCTAATAAGATCATTAGCTTTGAAAAGAACAGAAATTTAAGTAATACTTCAATAGATTATTTCGAATAATACATCTCTCTCTTTAAAATAAATCCATAAGATTATTAATCTAGTATTTATTCGCAAAATTTATGTTCAATATAGACTAATCTCACCCTGACCCTATTGAAAGATAGTTATATTGATTCTTCATATTTCATGAATATTAATACTTTGCCAATAGATCAAAAGGCTCATTTTTTTGTTCCTGTGTGTGTGTGTGTCAAAATTCGAAATTCTAGACACAAGTATAATTACATTCATATTTTAATTATTCATTTTTCTCTGTTTAGATATGGTACGTGAAATCGTTACGTTACAAATTGGAAACGAGGCTAATAATGTTGGTGTACATTTTTGGAATCAACTTGATATTGAGCAAACTCATAATAATCCTTTAATTGATTATAATACATATTATACATTTAATAAAAAGACAAATGTACCATCACCTCGTGCATTAATTATTGATTATCGAAATACATTTGGTTATTTATTAGATGAAATTGAAACAAGTTTACATACAAATAAAAATGATGATTCATCAATTGAAATTATTAAACGTCCAACAGAATCAAATGTTTGGTCAAATAAATTAAAAACAAAAGCTAAATTTCATCCGAAATCTTTAATACCATTAACTGATTATTGGTATTCACCAGTTAAAGAAGAAAATCAATTTGATATTTATCCTATTGGACAACAAATTTATAAAAAAATGTCTGATCAAATTGAAAATTCTTTACATTATTTATTAGAATCATGTGATACATTACAAAGTTTTCGTTGTTTATATGATGTTAATAATAGTTTTTCTGGTTTATTTACATCTATACAAGATTATTTACATGATGAATGTCCTAAACAACCTATATGGTCATTTGGTGTTGGTAATCAACCATCAGAATTAAATTTAATCTTATCATTAATACATTCATTAAATGAAAATCAAATGCCAACATTAACATGTTCGAATTATGATGATACATATAAATTAGGTTTAGCTATACAACATTCATTACTATCAACAACATTAACACAAGATATACTTGTTGATCGATTATGTCCGATGAAGAAAAATTTCTTAAATTTAGTTTCAACTATTCCATTTGAATTAAAACATAAAACATTATATCATTATCTTGAAAATTCAACGGATAATGTATTCCAATTGACTAAGCCAATAGCATGTCATTATTTTCTTCGTGGAATTGACCGAAATGAATTATATAATCAATCATTGTATAAACTTAATGTTGAAACATCTGCAGATTTAATTGAAATATATTTACGTGAACAATATGGTTCAAAAATGTTTGTATCAAGTGATTCTTGGATTGAAAAATATAATCATATGTCATTAATAACTGGATTAATTAATGATGATAATTATTCATTTGATTATTTTAATAATCTATTAAATAAAATGAAAAAAATGAATTATAAATTATTATCTAAACGTTGGCATGAAAATGATTTTGATGAACAAATGTTTGAACAAATGATGAATGATTTAAATAGTATACATGAACAGTATCAATTGAATACATCAGAATAACATGACGAGCATTATTTGGTTTTCTTTTTTATTATATATATATGCATTTATAAGATCTGTTATATATCGGTTTGACTTTCTTGTTTTTTTTATTCTTTTAGATTGAATATTTTTCCCCCCTGTTTGAATGTACGTGTGTTATCAAGTCGAAGACGATCGAGATTTCTAGTTGTCGAAAAATTTTTTAAAGGTAAGACATAACATACATAATTTTCAAACCAAAATAATATATTGTGAATATATATTCTAATCTTTGCATGAAAGATTGTTAAGAATATTAGTCAATAATATTATTATACTTTCAAATAATTTGTTGAATGTCATAAACTAAAATAACATAGATGTCTATGTTTAAACTGTGTCTACAATTAGGTCGACGATAGTTGAAGAACTGTTTCCTTCTAAATAATTTTGTTTTGTTCGAGAAATTTCCTTCTTTAACGTTAGTCACTTCTCTTTTTCTAATGAAAGCCATCTATATGAAGAATAGGAGAATAAAAATCTTTTCTTTGCAATAACCTTCGAAAACAAATTTCTTGTTGAAAAAAAAAAGAGAAGGAACTAAAGAATAGTTACTAAAGCTATGTCATGAAATTCATTGCGAAGGTTGTATTTCTATCATAATCAACTCAACAGACCTTATTCTTTATCCTTATCAAACTCAAATACAAAAATCTTCCGCTTAGCTATCCACATTCTAGTTAATTATTCATGTGACGTAGAATGAAAGAACTCGTTGCAAGAAAAACACGACAGAATAGACAAGAAAGACGTGAAGCTTATATTCAAACATGACAACATAACACGATATATGTATGTGACTATATCAAATACTACGAGAAGAAAAAATAGAAAAGTCATAGTAGTAATGAGTTGCGATAAGGATGGCGCGCATGATCTACATATTAACCAGGAAAGCTTGTATCATTTTTCTCATGCATAGTAAAATCTTTTCAATTGTTTTCTAGTTATACTATCAAACACTTAGGCGACTTTGAAGAGCTCTTTTCTCAATAGCTTTAAGTACTCAATAGTAAAATTTACCTTCTAGCACTTATCTCGTTCTATTTTTTATATACAGACTGTATAAAACAATAATGGATTTATTCTCAAAAACTTATTCTAATCTATATCTACGATGAGATATATTTGTTTTTTTTTTGCAAAAAAAAGGAAATTAGATGCACACACGTTTCTATTAAATTTAAATAAATAGTATAATCTATATTTTGTCACTCTTTATATATATATATAGAACAATTTGAATAAATGTCATACTTTTTTTTCTGTGTTAATTTAAAGAGAAAAGAAAACTAAAAAAGAAAAAAGAGAAACTATTTTACATTCATTGAACAGATGGCTACATCGTTTTTGTCGTAAATATATATTTCTTTGTTACATTGAATAGAAAACGAGAGAATAAGAAGCGGCAACTAAGAAAGAAAATAGTAAAGAGAACAATTTTCTTATAACAGCTGATGGTATATTTCTTATTTTATTTTTTTTCTTTTCTTCGTCATCTTTCTTCTTTTCCGACAAAATATATATATATATATATGAGCAGACAAAAACTAAATGACACGAAGAGAAAGAACTCATAACACTGTTGTTGATAGTGATCATGGCGTCAAATGAAGCGGGGCGTAAGACACAAAAACAAAGAAAAAAAAAAGTATCGTTGTTGTGTGTGTGTGCTGATTGAAATGCAAGAGATAAAAGAAAAAGACAACGATCAGCGTTAATAGTGTAGGTCTGTTTCGTTGAAACCCAATCCTTTATCTATTTGGTGTCTATAGTGTCGTAGATATATGCTGAACAAGTCTTTTTCTTCTTCTTTCTTCTTCTTTTTTTCCTTCTTTTATCATTCGTTGAGAACATCTTTTTTTCCCCGTACTTGCGGAAGAAGAAAGCGGCATCTCCACGCGTGAGCAAATAATGTTGATGTTGTGTGGTTCAATCGCTCTCGTTCTCATTCTTCTATAATTGTGTATTGAGCATACACATATAAGATTTTTATATAGTAAATGAAATGTGATTTATCATTTTTATGTCAGAAAATCTAATGAAAATTTACATGTTCTTAACCCGCCAAATCAATAATGAAAATATCCTTTAAAAAGATTTTAAAAGAAAACGTTTTTTTTCTTCTTCTCCTTTTGACATTTCTTCGGATGTTTTCGTTAATTACAGCTTCCTCATTGACATCTATGAGGTATTTTATTATTAATTCAAAATATAAATCTTCTTTTTCTTTAGGTCTTTCCTCGCATCGAATTGGTATTCGTCTACTCCAATGAGTAACGAAACCTCGACAACTAAACTTGTACTTCCTGCTAATACAGGCAATAGTACCTCAACAACACCAACATCATCATCATCACCAACACCATTATCACTTAATAATGAACAACAACAACAACAACAACAACAAATAAATATCAACGGCAATGGTATACTCAATGATGGAAAATTAACATCAAATAATTATCATAATGGTGGACTCCCTGATCTTCAAGCTACATTCCAAGATTCTCAATGGAGTAATGTTATCGATCCATTAAGTGGTAACACCGGTGATCATCCATTCGATGTACATAATGGTAATCGAATGTTTGAACCACAATCATCATTACCAACACCTCTTATGACAATGCAACAGCAAATGTCTTATCAACAAGTAAGAAAATAAATCAACTCTTTATTTTAATTATAATTGTTCTTTTCTTTCCTTTTTTTCAAAGGAAATGCAGAGGAGACCAATAACAGCCGCACATAATTTTCCAACACAAACAATTCGTAGTGGCAATGGTGTTCCAACAATACCTATGAGTGGACGATGGAATAATCAATCGTCATCAATTGGTCCACCATCTCATCTTCAACAACAACCACAATCACCAACATGGAATACATCATCTATGTCACTTGGTTTTCCAACAACATCGTATGTTTATTTAAAAATTTTCCTAATAAAAAACATCAAATAATAATATTTCTTTTATTTTAAGATCTCGTCGTCCGGTATCTTCTTTACCAAATTCAAACATCCCAATATCTCATCCAAAAAAAGGACAAAATAATAATTTTTTTCCATTTCTTCCATCATCATCATCGACAACAGGTACAACAACAAGTCAAAATCCAACATCATTAAATGCACTTCGACCAACACCAGTTATGGGTAATTTTCTTTCATCACAAAATGGACAAACACCATCACAAATGATGAATGGTGATATGGGACAAAATTTTCCACCGATGAATGTAAAAGAAATTTTTTTATTTTTATGTTGTCTAAATATTATATTTTAGTCTGGTGATGCATATGATATGAGTTCATTTCAACAACTTATGGATATGATGAGAAATGCTTCATCAAATGATGGAGTTAAACGTGTTTATAGTGAAGATAGTGGAATGGGTAGTATACTTGATACAGAAAGTTTAATGTCAGTTGGTGGTCCATCATCATCATCAACAGGTTTATTTAATTCATCACCACGTGCAATACAAATGGATATGAATAAGGAAGAACGTTTTTCACGTAAAGTTTTTGTTGGAGGTTTACCACCTGATATTGACGAAGGTAAATATAAAATTTTTCGAGAAAAAAAAACAGATTTTATTATTTTGTTTTGTTAAATAGAGGAAATTATTGCACATTTTCAACGATTTGGTCCATTAATTGTTGATTGGCCACATAAACAAGAAAGCAAATCTTATTTTCCTCCGAAAGGTTATGCTTTTCTAATATTTACATATGAACGTTCAGTTCAAGATTTAATTGATGAATGTGTTATTGATGATTCAAAACTTTACATGTGTGTATCAAGTCCAAGTATGAAAGATAAAGCTGTACAAATACGTCCTTGGCTTTTAGCTGATTCCGATTTTGTTATGGATGGTACACAACCACTTGATCCAAGAAAAACTATTTTTGTTGGTGGTGTTCCTCGTCCATTACGTGCAGGTAAGAAAAAAAGAAGAAATCTCCAATAAATATACAATGAGATTAAACAAAAGAATGACATTTTCTGATCTTGAAATATTGCATGTTAATCATCAAAAGATTAGTAATTATGGTCTGATGACATGTTTATAAAATGTGATCAGATTTATGAAATGAAATAGAAGTGTCAATTATTTACAAGCATTTAACTTTCTCCTTTTTGATTATTAGTAATTCTTACGAATATTTTTCGTATTTCGTTCTTTGATTTTCAACAAATCAGAAAAATATGTCCCTTTTTGTATTGTATTACTATATACTCACGATATCTTGAAAATCGATTAATGTATAATATTTTCTTTTGTATTTTAGTCGAATTAGCTATGATAATGGATCGATTATATGGTGGTGTTTGTTATGCTGGTATTGATACAGATCCGGAATTAAAATATCCTAAAGGTGCCGGTCGTGTAGCTTTTTCAAATCAACAAAGTTATATTGCTGCAATATCAGCTCGTTTTGTTCAATTACAACATGGAGATATTGATAAACGAGTTTGTTATTTGAATTATTTATTTCTAAAAATAATTTTGTATTTTTTTTCTATAGGTTGAAGTTAAACCATATGTACTTGATGATCAATTATGTGACGAATGTGCTGGTGCACGATGTGGTGGAAAATTTGCTCCATTTTTTTGTGCAAATGTTACATGTTTACAATATTATTGTGAAGCATGTTGGGCATCGATACATGCACGTGCAGGTCGTGAATATCATAAACCATTGGTAAAAGAAGGCGCTGATCGTCCACGTACATTACCATTTCGTTGGTAGACAAATATAGAAACAAAAATAAAAAATAATCCTTATTATTATTATTCTTATTATTCTTATTATTGTTGTTTTCATTTGTGTACATTCGGTTTTCATTTTTCTTTCTTTTGTGAACGTTGCGCATATGTATGTCTTCTTTTTTCCATAAGACCTAGCGCATTTTTTTTGGATAAATGTTGTTAGTGGGGATAAGTCGTTGGATGATCTCGTATTTTTTTCTCTGATAATTACTTTAAAAAAAAACACAGAAACACATTTAGATGTGTTTACTTGTCATAGTTGATTATTCTTTCTTCTTTTTTGTGCAATCTTTTTCTTACATATACTGTGGGCTTTTTTGTTAAAAAAAAATGAAAAAAAAAATTATGAAAAAAAAAGATTCTGTTTGCTCTTTTTTTTTGTGTTTCCGTTTATTTTGTACACAAGTTTTATTTTGTATGATTTTTTTTCCGCTCTCTCTTCATTCATCTCAGCTTGTCTTTTTTTTTTGGTTTTGTCATTGTCATCCTTTCTTTTCTTTTCTTTTCTTTTTTTGGTGGAAAGCATTCTCGTTCATTCATTTTTTTCATTTTGTTGTTGTTGTTGTTGTTGTTTTCGTTGTCATTTATATTTAACCTGTTCGTCATTCTACTTCTTCTTCTCTTTTTTTTGATATTCGATTATATTTTTTGTTTATTTATTTTTTATCGTATCATCATTATTCAGGCCGTGAAAAAAAAACATCGCTGGTGAAAGAGCACATCTTTCCGGTGGAGTTGCTCTTTTCATATTTTGTACCTTCAAATAAAACAGGCAATCTGGCGCGCAGATCTTCTTCTATTAACCAAACGCTTGTTTGTGTTTGTGGAGTCTTGTTTTTTTTGTTTCTCCTTCATTTTTTTATTATCATCACAAAGACATTTGTTGGTTGGTTTTTCTTTTTGTGTCTCTGATTCATGATTGATCGTTGTCGTTTTTTAATTCGTACCTTTTTTGTTGTACTAAACTATTATTACCTATTTCTTCTTTTCTTTTTTGTTGGAATAAAAATTAAGAGAATCCAAAAAAAACAAGATAGAGTTTATTTGTCTTTCTTCTGTTACTACGAATCATGGGAATTATATACAATATCACACACTCTCAAAGTATTTACATTTTGAGTGTAGTTTGCGAGTAACAAAACGAACAAAAAAAGAGTAGCTTTCAGTTCACTGATAATGATAAACTACAGAAGTTACTTATTCGCTAAACTCAATTTGTCTTGCAGATTAAAAAAAAATGTTTCCGGGATCATCTCGAACAGAAAAAAGATCAACAGACAATATAAAACGGCGTTTACAATCAGTGCTTGGATATAGTCTATATGCTGTTTATTTTGGTTTCATTCCATTTGTTGTTTATTTGGGATTTAAACTTGGACCGGATCCAGGTACACCTGATTTTTCATTAGTCAGTTTATTACCTATTGGTTAAACAAAAGTTATGATTATATGTTTTTTTTGTTATTGATTTTCTTATAAAAGAATAAAATAAAAAGAGAGTATTTACCACCAGAACCTTTCTTTGTATTTCGTTGTTGTTGTTGATGTTGTTGTTGTTGATTTGGTCTTGGTTGATTTGATCCCTGTTGGTTTGGTCCTTGCTGGTTATTAGTTTGATTCTTCTTCTTTTGTTGCTGTTGCTGTTGCTGACCATTATTACCACCATGAGGATTATTTTTAGGTGGACCTTTTTGTTGTTGATGCTCGTTGGGATATGGAGCAAACGATGGTTGAGGTGGAGGATATCTGTTTTGTGGTTGTGATCTACGATCAACAAAATATCCACCAGGATTTCCTTGCTGATTCGGATAGTTTTGGTTCATATATGGACGAGAATTTTGGCCAGATGGAAAACGTTGATTATGATATGATTGCGATGAATTTTGTTGAAAAGATGGCCGATGTGAAGGACGTCGATTATCATTATTCGAACGTTGTGATCGATATTGCTGTGCATTAGATCGAATAGATAATTGTTGAGCACTGTTTCGAATACACTGTTTAGGTAAAAGAGTTACAAGACGTGTTAAACGTTCATAAAGAGAATAGTCAAGTAAACATGTTGAAACTCGTCTTGTTACTATTGTTGGCGTTTCATCGATTTTTGTACAAAACATTTGACCAAAAGGACTTGATACTTCTTTCCAAATACCATCAGCATCATCAGCAGCATCATGCGATGGTAAACGACTTGGAAAAAGTATAGTTTCAAGTTGAGGTTTAACTAGATTAGGTTCATTCGATAATGGACAAAATAAAAGCTTTGATAAAATATCATTTCCTGGTGATGATGAAAAATAAGTTTTACTAAGTTCATCAAGAGTTAATTCAGGTTCAACTTGTTCACTTGAAGGTGGTGATTTATCATTTATTGAAGAAGGTGTTGGCTCATTTTTAAGATATTCATCAGCAAGATCATCAAGTGAAAAATCTCCATCAGTATCATTATTTGGTGTGATGGATGGAAGATCAGTTAATGTAGCATCTTTATCTTCATTCAATGTAGAAACTAAACAAATAAGAAACGATAATTCAACGGTATATTACGCAATAGTTTTCAATCAAAATTTTCCCATAGAAATAAAACTGTTATCTTGCTTTTTCTTTAAAGAACTTTAGCATTAATAAATCAATCAGTACTATTGATTTATTCTTTTAATTAATGGTGAAGTTTTAAAAAGAAAATAAATGAGTTCTTTAAAAAACAAGTTCTTACTGGAATTGATTGATAAAGTAATTTCGTCATTATTCATTTGATTTTCATCATTCAATAAATCTTGTCCATTCCGTATAATATTATTAAGAAAATCTCTTTTATCATCCGGTGAAATTGGAGTCGGTAGAAGTATATATTGCGCAGTAGAAACTAATAAATCTGTTTGTTGTGGTTGTTGTTCAACAAATTGTGGCTCACGTTGACATTTATCAATAAGTTTTTGTAATAAATCAATTACTTGTACACGTTTTAATGCAAAATTATTATCAGCAAAACCAGGTGGTGGTAATGATGAATATTGATCAGCACGAGGACATGCAGGCATGATATTATAAGTTTGCTTTGTTTTAATTTAAATGTTTGTAAACAAAATTTTCTAGAACAATAATACGGTTTTTTTCCATATATTTATATATATATGACTCATCTTGTCAATATCCTATGTGCATATGTGTGTTGATGTCGCTAGTGTTTTTTCTCTAGAGACTCATATAATATTGTAATGAAACCAATAAGAGAAATATTTCTTGAGTCATAAAATTGAGTTCATTTCTTTCGTTTTATTTCAACTAAACAATTCAAAATGGGATGCGATGGTGGAACAATACCAAGACGTGATGAACTCGTTCGTCAAAAGAAAAAACCTGAAGTTAAAGATAAAAATGCTGCTAATATGGCCAAATGGCGTCATTGTACATTAAAATATGACACACTTAAACAACCTATTGTTGCTGATAGACATGGTCTTTTATATAATAAAGAATCTATACTGGAATTTATACTTGATCGTATGAGTTTTGAACATGGACCATCATATATTAAAAAATTAAAAGATGTTAAAGAATTAAAATTAACATTAAATCCATCATTTAAATTAAATCATAATGATTTGGGAAATGAATATTTAGATGTATATTCATCACCATATATATGTCCATTAACTGGTTTAGAAATGAATGGTACATATAAATTTTGTGTTATATGGACATGTGGTTGTGTTTTATCTGATCGTGCACTTCGATCAGTTAATAATAGTAATAATACAGATGACAAACTTACTTGTCCACAGTGTGGAAAAGAATATTTATCAAACGATGATGTTGTTATTCTTAATCCCGAAAATGAAGATCTTATTGTAATGGAACAAAGACGAGAAAGATTAACTGCAAATCAGAAAAAGAATGGATCAAATAAACGAAAATCACCTGAATCAGAAGAACAAACAAACGAAAAAAAGATTAAAACTGGTAAGTCAACTTTAATTATAAATTTAATATTAACCGGTAACTAACTCTTATTTGTCTTGTTCTAGAATCAACAACAGATGCTGCTTCTTCAACATCTACATCAACAGTTCCCAAACCGAAGATTTCGAAAATCGTTTCAACAGCAACAGCAACAACAACAAAATCTACGAATGGTAAAACTTCAATTCAACTAGATCCAACTACAACAGATTTATATAAAAATTTATTCACGACAAGTGATGCTGCGAAAAAGAAAGAAAAAAATAAAGCTCATTGGGTAACTTATAACCCACTTTATTTTTAACACTCAGTCGTTTGTAAAAATAAATAAATACATTTTGTTTTGTTTTTTTTTGTCGTATCAATAAAATCATATCTATATCTCTAACTCATTGTCAATCTTTTACTCTTTAGTATTCTAGATATGTATATGGATAAATTCGAATAAATAATAAAAAAAAAACAAATGGAAACAACTGATGTAGATACTAATGCTTTATTAACAACAACAACAAATGGCATAGTTGATGAAGCCGAAGGTATTTGGAGTGCTGATATTGAACAAAGTTTTCTCGAAGCACTTGCTATATATCCTCCATGTGGACGACGTAAAATAATTTTAACAGAAGAAGGAAAAATGTATGGACGTAATGAATTAGTTGCACGTTATATTAAAATTCGTACAGGTAAAACGCGAACACGTAAACAAGTCTCATCACATTTACAAGTTCTTGCTAAACGTCGTTCAAAAGACATTCAATCATTACGTAATGATAAAGCTGCACAACAAATAATACTTGAAAGAATAAAACAATATACATCAGCTGAAATTGTTTCTATGAGTAATGAACAAATCCATACTGATAATGATTCATTTTCTGATGATAATGATGAACCAATGAAAAAAAAATCAACAAGTCCTGTTAAGAATCTCCTTCAATCAGTTCCAATGGATAAACATTCAATGAAATCTATTCAACCAATATCAACAAGTATAGATCAATGTAAATCTAATAATAATAATAATGAATTACCATTACCTTTACAAACACCGGTTTTAAAAAAGCATACGATAAAAAAAGAAATACTTGTTAATAAATCAAATGGTGCGATGCCATCTCTAATGAATAATTCTATTCCACTTCATTTGCCAAGTAATTAATTTGTTGTTCTTTTTTTTTTATTTATAGAATAGAAAAATTAGTTCAACATTCGTGGTTATACAATGTTTAAGTAAGAGAGACAATGCATTTAGACTTAGCATGTGGTAAATTATTTTGAATGCATAGTGCGAGAAATAATAGAATAGATTGATTGCCTACTGTCAAAAATCTATAGTTATATTCTTGAGAAGAATAATAATGTAGTGAACATTTATAAGAAATCATTAGATATTTTTATCATTTTCCTTTTAGTTTCTCCAAGCGTATATACTCAAGGTACAGCAAGTCGATCACGATGTTCATCGAATACATCATCATCATCTCCAATGTCTTCCGGTTCAACAAATTCTCAAGCTGTAATGATACCAACTCCATCCGTTTGTCCATTAGCTGTAATTGGTGATGAAAATTTTAGTCTTTTTGATGTAAGTGCTGTTATTGAAATAAAACGAACAATAAATACAACAACACCACCATCATTAATTTATCGTCCATCTGAAGCATATTTAGTAAATCAACATAATTTAATTCATCTCTATGCAAATAATATTCGAAGAAAAAATAATCATACATTTGAAACAATATCAATCGATCAAATATTTGATAAATTTCCTCATACGGATGGTTTAAAAGATTTATTTGAACGTAATCCAGATGGTTCATTTTTTTTAATTAAATTTTGGGCAGATGTTCCCATACTATCACCAGTTACAAATTCAATGAATATTCGTGATGAATCATTTTTTACATCATTTGCATATATAAGTTCATCGAATCGACCAATACATATATCAACATATTTATGTTCATTTGGTAAAAAAGTTTTAGAAAAAGTGGATACAAGTGAACATCCACAACCCGATAATTATGATCAATTTATTTATCGTTTTGATCGAACACCATTATGTGAATATATGGTACAATTTATACAAAAACTTCGTTCTCTTCCAAATACCTATATGATGAATAGTGTGTTAGAGGTACGAGTAACAAATAAACTTAGTTTCCTTATTTATCATATATAATGATTATGTGACATTGAAAGGGAAAGAGCAAGTTTTCATAGAATATTTCAAAACACTCAGACAACTCGTCTCGATTGCTGATTCTTACGACAACACTCAAAAATTAATATTCTTATTTGTTTTTTTTAGAACTTTACTGTCCTTCAAGTGATCAAATGTCTAGATAATTCTGAACGACTTTTACTTTGTCTTGCTTTTGTTTTTGAAATTGCTATGCCCGATGCGGGTGGTCCACAATATCAAGTGTACAAATTGGTTGCTAATTAAGAATAAAAAGAACAATGATAAAATCATAATCATTTTTGTTTGTTCGGTGCCTTCTTATTTCTCATTCTATGTATCTTCTGTATTTTTATTATGCAATTCTTTTGTTCCTTATTCTCTTATCATAATATACTTATTGTTTCTTCTTCTTCTTCTTCTTTTTTTAGAACAGTGAGGTGTTGGTTTTCTTTTTTCTCTTTTTGCTCAATTACAGAAATTTGTGACTGCTGTTTGAGCGAATAATCAACATGTTTGTGAATTTTCTGTTTGTGAATTTTCGGTTAAATATATGCCCAGTGATTACGGCATTCATTCCTTCCGTTTGATATTTTTCTATTTGTCTATCTAATAAAACCGGTCCTTCTTCTTTCTTTCGCTCTTTGTTTTGTCTATATAAAAAAAAAGCAATTCTTAAATAAAAAGATAAGATATTTTGTTTGTTATTATCTATCGTATTCCAGATGGCAATGAGTTCTCAACATATACAATTAATTCAATCATTTAAAAAAGTCATTCCACCACTTTTATTTGATACACATAAAGGCGAAGCTGGCCGTATTGGTGTTGTCGGTGGAAGTGAAGAATATACCGGTGCACCCATCTTTGCAAGTATGTCTGCATTTCGAACAGGGGCTGATCTTGTTCATGTTTTTTGTACTACGCATGCTGCAATACCAATAAAAAGTTTTTCACCGGATCTTATTGTGCATCCAATTCTAGTATGTACATATCGAATTTGTTTTGTTTTTTTCTTCTAATTATATTTGTTTAGGATTCAAAATCTTTTTCGGATGATATGAATAAATGGTTACCACGTTTACATGCATTAGTTATTGGTCCTGGTTTAGGACGAGATAAAACAGTTTTATCAAATGTTGAAAAATTAATTGATATATTACGACAACAAGATAAACCAATTCCAGTAGTTATTGATGCTGATGGTCTTCATTTAATTACCGAAAAACCTGGTCTTATTAATAACTATGTAAATTGTATATTAACACCAAATGGTCCGGAATTTGAACGTTTATATGAAAAAGTAATGGGTGTTAAATCTGAAGATCAAAAAAAAGAAAAAGATAAAACACAATTAGCACAAAAATTAGCTGATGCACTTCGTGTTAATATTCTTATGAAAGGACATTTAGATGTAATAGCATCACCTGATAATCAACAACCAATTCAATGTGGAATTGATGGATCACCAAGACGTTGTGGTGGTCAAGGTGATTTATTAGCTGGAGCTTTAGCTGCTTCTTATTGTTGGGCTGTAAAAAATGGTGATCAAAATCAACAATCAAATTCTGATAAATCATCGAAAACAACAGAACAACAAGCTAATACATCAAAATTAACTCCAGCTCAAATAGCTGCTTATGCTGCATCGACACTTATTCGTACATCCAGTCAAGCAAGTTTTAATCGACATGGACGTTCAATGATTAGTACAGATGTATTGAAAGAAATTGGACCTACATTTGCTAAACTTTTTGAAAACTAATCTTGATCATATTTTTATTTATTTAATTCAGCAGTCTACGCATTTTTATTTTATTACATAATATAGACCAGCTATTAGTTTTTTTCAGATGTCCACAACGAATATTTATTCGTTTTCACAACCAATTATTGTAGAAAAACCTTCTTCTTCTCTATCGGAAACAATACGTAATCTCATATCAAATGCATTTGCACCATTTCAACAAGAATATCGTCGTTGGCCATGGTCACAAATAGGAACAATAGTTATTGTATGTATTGGTTCTTATACAGTCTATAAATATTTACCTGGACCTTACCGACGTTATTATATGTTATCAACAAAGAATTTTTCTTCTCAATATAATAAAGCACTTCATGTAGAAAAAGAAACACTTTTTAATGAATTAAAAAATGTAAAGGCAAGAGAAGAAGGAAGAACAAAAATACAAGTAGTAGAAATTGGTGCTGCACATGGTGCTAATATGGCATATTATCCTCCAAATAGTAAAATAATAGATTTTATTGAAATACTTATCTTTCTATTTCTTTCTAATAGTTATTGAACTTATTTGTGTCGAACCAATACGAGAATTTGAAGTCTATTTAACACAAACACTTGGACGAAATCCTCATGTCAAATGTAGAGAATTATTAGTAGGTGGTGCTGAAAATCTTTCTGGTAAATAATTAGAGAAAAATGATAATATATATATATATTCTTTTGCTTCTTAGTTATTCGAGATAATCAAGTCGATGCTGTTGTATCAACATTAACATTATCTTCATGTAAAAATGTTCATCAAGTATTACGTGAAATTCGTCGAATACTTAAACCTGTAAATTTAAACTATAATTATATAACTTCTATAATCAATTTTATTTCTTCTCTAGGGTGGTATTTTTCTTTATATGGAAAATATTCGTTCACCAAATCCTTTTCTTGCCTTTATTCAATATCTTTGTTCACCAATGTATAAATTTTTATTTGGTATTTCATTAATAAGAAATATTCCTGAATATATTGAACGAGCACATTTTTCTGGTGGTACAACACAACGTATATTTGTTGCACGTGGTATTCCATTTCTTTTAAGTCCTCATGTATCGGGTATTGCTCGAAAATGATTGAATCTTTTGTTTGTTTGTTTGTTTTTTTGTATTATTTATTAAAAACTAAGCTTATGCTTTGTTCGTGTAATGAATATTTTTTTCTTATAGTCTAGAAAAACAAAATAAAGAACAGAATGTGTAGCTTTGATAATTCTATTGTTTTGAATAATAATAATATTAGCTAAAATAAATTTTGATATGTATATTACAAAAAAAGCTTACGACACTCGGTATTCCCAGGCGGTCACCCATCCAAGTACTAACCGAGCCCGACGTTGCTTAACTTCAGTGATCGGACGAGAACTGGTGTATTCAACGTGGTATGGCCGTAAGCGTTTTTTATAAATGATTTCTTTCAATATATATTTATAAAAGTCGTTGTTAAGCAACATTTTAAACAAAAATGAAAAGTATTTTAATAAAACTCTATAATCATATAACTTTATTAAATAAAAACAGAAGGTTTTCAGTTTGGAAAGTAGTCTCTCTATTGTTTTAATGCCAATGTTTTGCTTGTTTAATATATGATAAATAAATAAAAATTTTAATTTGTAGCATTGCCACGTATTGTTTGTTCAACAGTAAAAGCATTCTGAACGAGTTTTTCTTTTGTTAATGGATCACCTAAACCTTTTTGTTTGAGTTCTTCAATAACTTTCTGACGTTGACTAGTAGACATGGCTTTTACTATTGAAAGTAATGATTTTGTATCTTTATTTTTATCATCAGATGTTGCACTTGGAAGTGGGTCTTCTCCAAATTGTTTTCTAGTTTCTTCAGCAGCTTCTGTTTCATGTGCATCAACTTGTTTCATATCATGAATTGAGACTTTAAAATCAGAAGAAGATAAAGCTTCGAGTAATACTTTTTCATCAGCCATGATACGTAAGAAATCGGTGTTTGATTATATGTACTGTTTTATTTCAAGAACAAGTAAACTGCTTGACTTGTCTTTCCTTCTTCCTCTGCTTTCTCTGCCTCTCAAGCTAAACCAGTAATCAATAGTAACATAGAGCTAAATGACATCGCTAGAAGTCGGTCGAATTTCTTCTTAATATATTTATATTAGGCGCTCTATGAAAAATTTTCTTTTTTTGTTTTTCGCCTGCGGGTTCGAAGCATACATTTATAAATCATCAATCTACTTATATGTCTGGATTATTTTTGCTCAGCAGGTGGTCAATGAACACTCTATGCATCTATTCAAGTGATTAAATCGTAGACATATGCCTCTTAAATCTGGTAAAATTGAAAGTAATCTACTTGGATTACGTTCTGGTAGAAAGCAACTAATAAATAAAATTAATGATATAACTGAACGTACACAACAAATTGTCTTAGAAAAATTTACTGATGAACAATTAATAGAATTTCGAGAATTATTTAATATGTTTGATAAAGATAATCAAGGTTAAATAGAAGAATTTTAATCCAAATTTATATTTTTCTGTTTTTTAGGTATATTAACCATACAGACTCTTGTTTCTGTAATGAAATCAGTTGGTCAAACACCAACTGAATCTGATATGATTGATTTAATGCGTGAAATCGATATTGACAATTCAGGTACAATTGATTTTTATGAATTCGTAAATATTATTTCACAACATATGTATCCAAGTGAAACAATACAAGAAATTCGACATGCATTTAATTTATTTGATCAAAATGAAGATGGCATAATTACATTCGATGATTTGAAATTAACTAATGAAAAATATTTGAAAAACTCAATCAATGATTTTGAATTACGTCAAATGGTTGAATTAGCAAATCATAATGAACAAAGACATGTTTCATTTGAAGATTTTCTTCATACAGCTATTTGTCGAAATGATAAGAAACGAAGTGGTTTAAGTACTTAACTTACTGTCAATATTAGTCACTTTCATAAGAAATGACATCTGTTGTAGAAATTTCAGTTAATTCTCATGAGATAATAGAAATGTGTTTTCTTACATTAAATAAATAAAAGATTGATCAAATCAAAAATTTGTCTTTTGTGTCCATTTATTGATGATGATAATGATAATTGCTAATGCATTCATCATAATTGAGCAAATTCGACCTTGTCCATTATCAATAGTAATAATACTCTATAGCTCAAGATAGCTTAATAGCAAATAAAAATAAGATAAACTGAATCGACCTGTTTACTTTGATTCTGTTCGATAAAAATTAAATTATGTATTTTTTTCTCCTATTTATAATGATACATTTATAATAATATTATCTCTGCAAGAATCAGTCTGCATAATGACGGCAAGCACTATGCAATAATCTATTCATATACACGTCTAGAGATAGAAGACAACGATTCAATACCACAAGAACGTATAGATCATATTCCATTGATAGACGACAAATGACAATATCTTCGATTATATCAAGTTATTTTTGTATTTCATATTTCTTTCACATACTCCAGTCAAAAATAAATTAAGATATGACATGCTGTGCTGCATATGATAAATTTAACATGAAATGAAATAACAACATATATGCACACTTGTTGTGTTCAATGAATGAATTTGTCTTTGTACATGTATACATATACTCAATGAATGTATGACAAATTCAAGTTGACCGTATGATTAAAATCAATTTTTCTGTAACTGAGATAAGCAATTGAATGAAGGTCAGTAAAAACGACTATATATATATAGATGAAAAAAGGTAGAATTTTGTATTGTTTGAAGTATACTTTTATTTTTTATGCTTCTTTTATAACTTTTATAAAGCCGCATATGATAGAAAACAATTTACTCTTTTAACTATAGTCGATCTATACCGATTGTTCACATGTTGCCATTAGATTTGATAAGTGTTAATAATGTTCATATACATATAAACATAGTTGAGTCGACGTGTGTGAATGTCTATGTTATTGATAGATAAGAAGTGAACCGACGTTTTGTGGATCGTATGTGTCTATCATAATTAATCCTCAATAGATTTGTCTCCTTTCCTTTTCTTTTTTGATCACAATCAATGAATGTACTCACATCAATTTAGATGAAACGTTTATAGATTCGTCCGTGCATGATCATAAGAGTTTGTACAACAAAAAATAAAAATAAAAGAAGAAGGTAATGAAGATGAATTAAAATACTCGTCTTTTTCCTTCAGTTCTCTATGCCAATTTGATACGATGACCTTACTTAGTAATTGTACAGAGGAAGAAAAAAAAATGCGAAAGGAGAGAAAGCAAGAGAGAAAACGACTCATATAGCATTTATGATAACGCTTGCACTCGCAGCATCTTAAAGGAATAAGTAAGTGTCACATCATAGATTTGTCAATTTTTCTAAATATAAACAAATAATTCATAATCTATTTGCCTTTAATTCTAGATATGACAATCAGTTAATACAATAGAAATGTTTATAAATCTATTTCGTAAGTATAATACACATATTCGTTCATCCATACATAGAATCCAAAGAAGAACAGGCTCTTTTTTTATATAAACTCATATATTACTTATGTAATAATGATTTTCTTATGATTGACGAAACTCTTCATATCTTATTGTCTAACAAATATTTATAACGTAATAGTAAGAGAGAACTGTCTACATATGTTCATCAGATGCAATATTTAGACAATAGATTAGTTTCTTGTGTGTGTGAAGTATACTCTTTTTACCACTTGCTGATTTTCGGTTAAATTAATGATCTTGGAAGAGTAACAGTAGTTTCTCATTTTTTCTACTCTCTCTCTCTCTCTCTTTCTGTTTAGCCTTGATTCTTCTGTTGATAGAACTGTTGTCATTATGCGATCTGTCACCGATCAATGACAATAATAATCAACAGGAAATACAAATAACAAATAAACTTGTCAATCAATCGACTACATCAACAACTTTCAGGTATATGTCGGTTGCAAAAATCAATCATTTAAGATTTCAGAAATAAAACAAAAAAAGAAAAAGAATAAAATAGCTCAAATATATTTCTTATCGTATCAAAAATGGTCAAGAAATATATATGAAGATAATTGATGAGTTACCTTGAGCAAATATCATCACTGTTGATGGCAGGATCTTATCAATTGATGATATTGATGTCTATCTGTCTAAAAGTATCTTTCTTATATTTTAGTAGTATATTAACAAATATGACATGGATAAAAACATTAAAAAATCTAACAGAAACTGGTGGTCGTACAGTTATGTTAGAATGTCAAGTTCAATCTCTATATCCAGTAACATTTAATTGGTATAGATATAATAATCCACTTGATAGAAAATCTTTTCTTGTTGATGAAAATTTATTTCGATCAAGGTACTTACAAATTTCTTAGTAAATAAAAAAACATTCATTACCTGTATGTATATATATATAGTATTCGTTTAAAAAATTTAAAAGAATCTCAAGCTGGTTTTTATACATGTGAAGTATCAAATGGTTTTCAAACATTAACATCAACTGGATTTGTACGAGTTCAAAATCCTGGTATTAAATAAATATATTTTCATTAGAATATTTCATTGTTTTTTGATTATCATATAGATATCGATCCAATTGATTTAAATGATGATTTGTTAGTAATTGATTTTATTTATTTTTTGTTCAATAGAAAGATGTATATATATATATATATGAATTTTAGATTACCATCTATTGAATTTCAACCTGAAATTATTTCAACGAATGAAGAATCAATAGATAAATTGAAATGTGAAATATATACAGGAAACATTTGTCGATCAATTATTGATTCGAAATATATTTCAGTAGCAAATTTAGATCAACATGATATTGAACAAAATTTAGCTGATAATATGAAATTATTAACAAATGAATGTCGACAAGTTTTATTACCAATGATTTGTTTATTTGTATATCCACTTTGTGATTATAATCGAAAAAATATTCGATCAATATGTCGAAAATCTTGTTTTCATTTTCAAAAGAATGCTTGTATGATAAAATCATCGAATCAACAAGAACAATTATATCCGAGTTGTAAGCCAATAAAAAAAACAATTAGAATTAAATATAAACTAAAATATTATATTTTTATAGTTCAAGTTTCACATAGTATACCAACATGTGATAGTTTACCACCTTCAAGTGATGATATATCTTGTGTTAAGATTGAACAACAACGAAATGGTAAATATAGTATAGTACGATAGAGAATTAGATACATTAAAGAGAAATTCCGGATGGGCACCACCCACTCGATAAAAGACTGCGAAGGGTTCTTTCTGTTACTATTGATGCTGATTTAATAAATAAAGATTAGATATTTGTTGTAATCGAATTAACTTGAAAAATTTGTTTCGATAATCCTCGATGCTCACTTAATTCATTCTTTCTACAAAATTTGCTTTTTCCCTCTTTATTCTGTCATATATGATCAAGGATACTTATTTGGAAAAATTCTACTTTGTTTTAGTTTCTTCATCTTCAAATACTCCTTCTGTTATCCATCATCTATTATCACCCGATTCTCCTTTGATTATTTTCCTAAGTATTTTTTTACCTATTGTTTTTCTTGGTTCACTTATGCTACTATTATATTATCATTGTTGTCATAATCGAAATAATGAAATTCATACATCATCAACAATAACACCTATGAAAAAATCTTCTCATCTATTAAATTCAATTCCAACATCATCACCATTTCATTCCACAGTAAATATTATACAAAATCATCATAATATAACATCATCATCATCATCATCAACAAATACACATTTAACTAATTTACATTATCGTCAACCATTACTTAAATCGGAATCTATATATCGACAAACATATCTTCCATCCGGCGGTAATTCACTAGGTGAAATTTCATCAACAAATATCCGTTTTTTACAAGAACTTGGTGAAGGTAAACACTAATCGTTATTTACATAATATTTATTTCAAACATCTTTTTTTTTCAAGGAGAATTCGGACAATTATATATTGGTGAATTAATTAATAATTCAAATAAATGTATGATTAAAATGTTACAAAATGAAAAATTTAAACAAGATTATTTACACGAAATTGAAAGTATATAAAAAAGAACACAACAGTAAGACATTCAATATCATTTTCCTTTTTTTTTAGTTTTTAATCAAATTCATCATGTAAATATTTCTTGTCTTCTTGGCATTTGTATTCAATCAGATGATTCATTTCCATTGATGATTTATGAATATTCTACGAATGGAGATTTACATGAATATTTAATTTTACAAGATTCAAAAACAATTGATTTATCTGATCTTCTTTATATATCAATACAAATTGTATCAGGAATGATATATTTGTCGGAGAAAAATTTTCTTCATAATGATTTATCGGCAAAAAATATTCTTATATCTGAGCAAATGAATATAAAAATAACAAATATAGCACGTTATCGTCGAAAATATCATTTAGATTATTATAAAATAGCAAATCGTTTATTACCTGTTCGATGGATGTCAATTGAATCATTATTATCAGGTATCTATTCTGAAATGTCTGATGTTTGGTCATTTGGTGTATTATTATGGGAAATGTTTTCATATGGTACACAACCATATTCTGGACAAACAAATCCTGAAGTTATTGAAATGATTCGTGATAGAAAACTATTAACATGTCCAATGAATTGTCCAAAAAAAATTTATACATTAATGTGTTTATGTTGGGAAGAAATAATTGAACAACGACCAACATTTATTGAACTTATGAGAAGATTAAGACAATTTGAAGACAAATCCACAACAACAACATCATCAATTGATGATGAATTTCTATCAGATAATCAAATAGATGAATCTTCTACTGCAAAAAAGCATATAACATTGATACCATTTAGTGAACAAACTGCTTCACATTCAATACTTGCTGATAGAAATAATAGTATTCGTATTGAAACATAATAATCTTCTTTTTTTTCTTTCGATATGAAATGTTTTATGTTTGTTTATTGAATTAGATTATCGTATATGTTTGTTTTCTATTAATGCATTTTTAAAAGATTACCAAATTTTCATTGTCAAATTTATATTTATTTGTAATAGATTTATTACAGAATTAAATCAGGGAAACATAACTTTTGTAAATGACTTGCATGAATCTCTCTCTCGAGAATCGCATCGTTCTGATACACACTACACGCTTCTATACTAGTCCATCAAATAGAATGAAAGGTAAAGTAATGTTAAAGTACATCATGAAAAGAATCGAAAGGACAAATAACATGCGTACAGCGCATGTATGTGGTAGCGTCTCGAAAACAATCTTAATAACAACGTTGTGTGCAGTAGCTATGACGATCCTGTTATTCTGTAGTTGATGCCATTTGTTTTCGTATTTTTCGTTTCAACTAGTAATTGCAACAACATGTGAAAAATATAATGCACGACGAGTATATATTCATTCGGGTAGGAACAAAAAATAATAACACATCGAATCACTTGCATACAACGTTACACAGCACGTATTTCATCAGGGGTCTACAATGACAAATGAAACTGTTGTGAACTTCCATACATTACCGGTAGAGATTGTCTACCGAATTCTAGATCAGCAATCGGATCACACAATGATATGGTCAATGACTAACGTATGTCAACGATTCAACATGATCTTAAACACCTATCATCGATATCAGGTAAATTCTTTTCTATCATGACAGTCTAATTTTTGTCTATTGACTCACAAATTATTTTTCATTCCTGCAATCTCTATACAAATAGAATCACTTCAATAGAATACATGTGAATAAACCGTAACTCGGGTTGAGGTAATTTTTTTATTACAGTCTTTCTTCTGCAATAGTTTTAGGGGAGGTATAGTCTATATGATGACATAATAATATTGATAAATCATCGTATTAACTTTATAAAAAAAATAAAATAAAGATATAGGAAAAAATCAAGTGTGACATAAATTTTATTCAGTTTAAAAACTGATTTATTTGTTAAATATAACAACTAGTTTACAATAGAGAATGACATCCACAGTGAGCTTTTGTTTGAGTTAGATCGACATCCTCTAACGTGGTATTAAATATCACCAATGGGACAGTTAAATTACCGCGATTATTGAGATCAATGTTCATTTTTTTTATAAATAAGTAAATAAGAGAGATTAAATGGAACGCTATTGATCAATGATAGCTAGCGTATGTAAGCGTACAACAGACACATGACACTGCAAAAATTCATTAGCAGTGATCAGTAAAAATCAAGATAAAAAAGAGACAGTTTTACAAAAAGATAAATAATTGTTTATGTGTGAGAGCAGTGACGATGTACGAAACTAGGGCTAATCGTAGCTAGTGGATCTCTCTGTATGACTATATAGATATTAAATAATTAATATCTTTTAATGCTTAGAGAAAATGAGAAAGAGTAAAAAGTGTCAAAACTGAAAAAATCAAGTTTTCACCCCTAGTTACGGTACAAAGTACTTTTACTGTACTATGACAACTCAAAAATTATACCCTGATAATAATTAGAAAAAAAATAGTTTCTTTTTTATCGTTTCAGTCTCATCTAAATAATTTTTTATTACTATTTCAACAATCTATAAACTAGCTAAGTTATTTTGTTATAAATAACATCTCAGACATTCACTCAAGAAATATCTCCGACAAATGCTTCCCTAAGAACATAAGCGACTATGACTGTACGAGTATATGGTTTATTTTATTTCAAATTGGATTTTGGAAGAAAAAATATACTCGTGTCTCACTAAAAAGTGGTGGGACTAGGGGAACTAGAGGAACAGGGGGGGGGGGGGCTAGAGGGACTAGGGGGACTAAGAGGAACTAAGAGAAACTACGGGGACTAAGGCGACTAGAGGGACAACGAGAACTAGGAGGGTGTGGGTCTGGGTCAGAATGTCACTTTACTCAGATCTATCCACACCTCTTTACACTTATGCCACACCCACATTCCCTCGGTTCGCCTTAGTTTTCCTAGTTCCCCTAGTTTGCCTGGTCCTCCTAGTCTTCCTTGTTCCCCTAGTTTCCACTAGACCTTCTTAGATTTGCTAGACATTTTAAACGCTGTACGTTGATATTATTTCATTGAATGAACAATGACTTTCTAGTTCATCTGTTCACCACATTTCAATTCTAGATAAAGTCATTTTATTTGTTTAAATTCAAATTGAAGCATAACAGACCATTGTAAGGCTACAGAATACTTTTATAACCCAGACCCTTTTCGTTCTTTCACAAAAAACATTCAGAATGAAAGCAACCGATAGATGAAAAAGTTCTACGCATACCCAAACCATTTTAGCTTCTTTTTCACACAGTTTTTTCGCAATAATCTTGAATATTACACAGAATTTAAACTCAATGAAGTATACAGATTTATATCCATGTACCCTCCGATAGAGTCCTACCAAAACTTTTTTTATTGATCTAAACCCACATAATAATGGCCAACTATACTGTTCCTTCATCTATACCGAATCTTTACTTACATTATTTCATCTAGACACTCACCGAACTAGATCTCGGGTGCAATGGAATAGGAGATGTTGGACTACAACATTTGGCTCATGTATTACAACAGAACACAGTAACTGTCTTTCACTCTCTATTTGTATCATGCCTCTACTTATACTTTTTCATATAGACCCTCACGAAACTAGATCTTAGTTTCAATAAAATCTCAGATGTTGGCGCACAACATTTGGCTCATGGATTACGGCACAACAAAGTAACTGTCTCTCTCCCTTTATTTATATGTTGCATTTACTTACATCTTTTCATCTAGACCGTCACCACACTAGATCTCCTATATAATCAACTCGGACATGTTGGAGTACAACATTTGGCTAATGGTCTACAACACAACACAGTAAATGTCTTTCTCTCTTTATCTATATCATTTGTTTACTTACACATATTCATCTAGACACTCACCGAACTAGATCTCGCGTGCAATGAAATCGGAGATGTTGGGGCACAACACTTAGCTCATGGATTACGACACAACGCAGTAAATGTGTTTCTCTCTTTATCTATATCATTTGTTTACTTACACCTTTCCATCTAGACACTCACTGAACTAGATCTCGAGAACAATAAAATTAAAGATCTTGGAGCACAACATTTGGGTGATGGACTACGACACAACACAGTAATTGCTATTATCTCTTTATCTATATAACGTGTTTACTTACGCTTTCTCATCTAGGCACTCACGACACTAAATCTCGCGGACAATCAAATCAGAGATCTTGGAGCCCAACATTTGGCTGCTGGACTGCAACAGAACACAGTAACTATCTTTCTCTTTTTGCTTATATCATGCTTTTACTTATACTTCCTCATCTAGACACTCGCCACATTAAAACTCGGTCGTAATAAAATTGGACATGTTGGAGTACAATTTTTGGGTGATAGCT